CGCCGCGTGGGCAGAGACTGCGCAGGCGCAGAGCGCCAGGCTCGCCGCACGCGCGGCTCCTGGCGCAGGCGCAGTGGGTACTGGAGGTGGTGCGTTCATTGAGCACAGATTTGTTTAATATTTATTGAGTGTCTGGCACTGTTCTAACCAGCAGCAAATCGGCCGGGAGTCCGAAGGACCGAAAGCCCCGCCCAGGTGGAGCCTCGCTTTCCCGCCTCCCTGTCAGCGCTGTGATCCGTGGCCGGAACAGCGCGGGTTCATTTGTTCTTGCATCTGAGCGCCGTCAGTCAGTCAGTCAGTGAACAAACACTGCTGTCCGTCCGGGTCACTGTCAGATAATCGCTGACCGATACAAAGTGGTGAGCGCTCTGAGGGAAGTGCAGGGGGTTGGGCTCGCCTGCAAAGGTCCGGCAGAAATAACGGCCAGTTAGCACAGTTGCTCGACTCACGGTCTCAGCATCCACACGGCGGTTCCTGCAGTGCCTTCGCAGACCCCTCCCCAGCCCGGCCAGCTGGGCCACCCGTCCCGGGGTCACACCCTCCCCCTTACTATCCCTAGTTACTAAGTCCTAGTAGCCGTGCCCCACGCGTCAGTTTCAAGCAGCTGCCTTACCCGCTGCTGTCCGCCTGGCGCCCCTTCCCGCGGGATCGTTCTTCACCCTCTGCGGAACTCCCACCTTTCCCTGACCCTCTGCTCCTGTTCACGGCCCTCCTTCTCAGCGTACCTTCCGTGTTCCGTCATTCTAGCTACTCTTTTGCACACACCCTCAGCCTCCTGTAGGAGGAAGAACAAACCTGACTCCATAATACCTCTGATCCTTTGGCTCTGGCTGTGCTGTTTTCTGGGCTGAGTCACGCGGGCTCTGCACTTTGTAGCCTTAAGTGTATAGGAGAGCCCCTTCTCAAGTCTCTGACGTTTTAGGGTGTAACAGTTGCAGAACAGAGAATAACATTTGTCTTGTTGGAGGTTTACACGGACACCATGACCTGACCTACGAGGACAGCTGCAAGAACGAAGGATTCCACTACTCAGCCATAAAAAAGAATAAAATCATGCCATTTGCAGCAACATGGATGGACCTAGAAATCATTCTAAGTGAAGTGAGCCAGAAAGAGAAAAGAAAAATACCACATGGTATCACTCATATGCGGAACCTAAAAAAAGAAAAAGGACATTAATGAACTCATCTACAAAACAGAAACAGACTGGCAGACGCAGACTGGCAGACATAGTAAACAATCTTATGGTTACCTGGGAAAGGGGGTGGGAAAGGATAAATTTGGGAGTTTGAGATATATAAAAATACACTAAAAAACACAAACTTCTTCTGTAGGGCACAGGAAACTATATTCAATATCTTGTAATAACCTTCAATAAAAAACATGAAAATGAATATATGTATATATATGAATGACTGAAACATTGTGCTGTACACTAGAAATTGACACATTGTAACTGTACTTCAATTAAAAAAAAAGAACAAAGGATTCCGACACCAAAAGACCTCCAACAATTAACCACACCCCCCTCCCCCTTTTAGTCTAAGAGGAGCCTAAATTCTGACTTGGTAAGATGGTTTTCAAGGACATCAGTCTGCCATCCTCTCAGTCTGCTGGCTTTCTGAATAAAAGCGTTATTCCTGCCCCAGCACCTCATCTCCTGATTTACTGGCCTGTCATGAGGTGAGCAGAACGAGTTTGGACGTGATAACACTCCTTGGCCCCTGTCCCTCCTTTCTCCTTGTCTGGAAAACCCCCAACTCTCCGCTGACTCTGGAACGGCTCTGAGCAAGTGAACACAGCTGGAGAAAAGCACTGCCGCTACCGTGGCCTATTACTCAAACTGATGCTCACAGAGATCAGAGGGGCCTCTGCGCGGCTGAGCCATTGCGCCTTCCCTGGCCCAGTCCCCGTTCACCAGGATGGCTGTTCACACCCTTCTTCTCCTCAAAACTCCAGCACAATCTCCCTGCCCACCTGCGTGGCAACTCTTACTTCCTGTTTAATTAAAAAATTTATATTAGTAATTAGAAGAGACCTTCCATTTGGCCTCACCACCCCGTCTACCAATCTACCTGCGTCTCTTCCCAAATACCCACCTTTCCTGTGGTGTCTGGGTGAACCGGCCTTGGTCCGCCCCGTCCGCCCTCCTGCCCTCGTCTCACCTGGTGGTGTAGTTACCACTCAGGCACGAGGCCTCCCATCACCCTGCCGTGGCCTGAGTGTCCTCACGTGTGGTGTCCACAGAATCCCACAGAAAAGTCCACAGTCTGTTCCTCCAGTCTGGGTTTCCTTATGAGGTTCCCATGTCACCCATGAATATGCACGCTTTTCTCCTGTTCTGTTTGTCGGCTTCACATTCAGACCCTTCCAAGGATGCTAAGTGGCTGGAGAACCTTCTCCTCGCTGTGGGTGTCACGCGCTGCTTCAGGAGAGAAGGGAGAAGTCAGAGTGTCCTTCCTGCACCTGCTGCTTCTCAGATTCCTTTGGCTTAAAATTTTCAGGATGCCAAGGTGCTGTAGTTTGGTGTAGTGTGTTCTTGTTACCGAGTCCAAGCTCGATCTGCTCCCCACACGACAGGCCAGTGAATAGAGAGATGAGGTGGTGGGGCAAGGAATAGCGACTTAATTCAAAAAGCCAGCAGACTGAGAAGATGGTCTAGTGTCCCAAAGAACCATCTTCCTCGAGTTAGAATTCAGGCTTCTTTGATACCGGAAGCGGAGGGAGCAGAGTCAAACCTGGTTCCCATCAGCCTCCAGCTCGTGTCTTCCTTCCCGCCCGCAGCCACTCACAGGTGGGCCTGGTCAGGATGCTTCCCGGGAGCTGTAAAAGGTGTTCTAGCTTAACGCTTATACCTGGGAGTCAGGGTTCCCGGGCTGGGCCACTATATGTCACTTAAGCTTACAGGCAACCTCCCTTTAATGATCAAC